CACACACACACACACGCACACACACACACACACGCACGCACACACACACACACACGCACGCGCACACACACACACACACACACACACACACACACACACACACACACGCACACACACACACACACACACACACGCGCACACACACACGCACACACGCACGCACGCACACACACACACATACCGCGCGCGCTTCACAGCCCAAAAAGAAGCTCCACCGAAGGCCCCAGTGGCTGCGTTCGCTGTTGCGGCGCATGCGGCTCCACCCCCCAATTGCGGCACACTCCTCACACGTTTCGTGGCCCCATAGGAAGCTCCACCGAAGGTCCTAATGGCTGCGCGGGGATCGTGGCCCCATAGGAGATCCACCGAAGGCGGCTGTGGCAGCCTCCCTCATGGCTGTCAGAGCCCTCTCCTGCTTCTGCTCCTCGGTCAGGGGGGCGCCGTCCTCGTCGTCGTCAGCGCCCGCGAAGACGACCACGAACGAGTCCCTGAGCATGTCGGGCCCTGGCGGGAAGCCGTGGCTACATAGGGAGCGCGGGCGAAGATGGCATTCACAACTGCGGTATTCACAACTGCGTATGGTTGGGCCCTTCGCCAAGTTAATGATTAGAACGCGTGTCTAAATTCCCGCGATCCATCCACATTGGGGAGCCATTGTTTCGCGCATGTGCGTTGTGCGTATCTGTGCCTGCATAGGCGTGCGTGTGTATATATGTACACACATTTGCATCAATACAAAAACACTTGTGTATATACATGTATACACGCGTGGGAGAAAGAGAGAGAGAGAGGGATAATGTGCGTGAGAGAGAGATAGAAAAAAAAAAAACATATAGAGAGAAAGAGAGAGAGAGAGAGAACGAGAGAGAAAGAGAAAGAGAGAGAGAGAGAGGAGGAGGAGGAGGAGGAGGAGGAGGAGGAGGAGGAGGAGGAGGAGGAGGAGGAGGAGGAGGAGGAGGAGGAGCGCTCAGAAGTGCAATGGCGCATGGGGGAGCCTGGAGGAGTGCCGAAGAGCGCGGTGGAATAGGGGGGGACTGCAGATGACTGCAGTGGAGCGCCGTGGAGTGCGAGGGAGTGGGGAGGTGTCTGAAGGAGCGCGGTGCCGAGGAGTGCGATGGAGTGGGGAGGCGTCGGGAGGAGCGCCGAGGAGTGAGACGGAGCGAGGAGGAATCTCGAGGAGTAGGGAGTAGGGAGCAGCGCGATGGTGTGGGGAAGAGTCCTGAGGAGTGACTGGGACGGCGCACCGAGGAAGGCGATCTTCATCGCACTGCTCGGCATTCCGTCTCACTCCTCGCCTCTCCACCTGATCTCCATCGCACTCCTCGGCATTCCTTCACACTCCTCCAAGCCCCCCCGCACTCCATCGCACTCCGTGGCACTCCTCCAAACTCTCCCCTTTCCTTCGCAATCCTCGGCGCTCCTCCCCCACACTCCCCATGCCATAGGATCCCTCACGCCTGGGTGTGCATAGGATCCCTCACGTCCATGTTTCCGTGCAAGTACGTGTGTTTATATTCACATGCGGACACACCCGCAAGCGTGTCTATCATTCGTTGCCTTTCTCCGCGAGCCAGTGCCCGGATATGTGTTCGTGTCTATTCGTGTCTATGTAGTACGCGTGTCTATTTCCGTGTTTATCATTGACGCTCGTGTCTATTTATGTACCATTTCGTGTATTTGTCAATCGATTCGTCTCTATTTGAAAACCTACACTTCGTGTCCAGTTTTACTTCTTCTCGCCTGTGTTTTTACAGTGTGCGCAGCACGAACAGATAGACACGATTCCTCTAGAAACTGAGCAACCCTTTCAAAGGAAAACACCCAGAAGATAGACACCGCCTCTTGTAGGCTAGGGGGCCTCTGAGGGCCTCAGATTCTTGGGGAGGCTCCGCGAGCGGTTTTCCTGAGGATGTCCCACCCGAGGGCGCCGGTTTGGAATTCATCACCGGATTCGCCTGATTTCCCGGATCTCGCCGGAAACGGAACAGGGGGGCCTCTGAGGAGGGCCTCCTTGGGGAGGCTCCCAGGAGCGGTTTTTCTGAGGATGTCCCACGCGAGGGCGCCGGTTTGGAATTCGTCGCCGGATTCGCCGGATTTCTCAGATCTCGCTGGAAACGGAACGGGGCGGCTTATGAGGGCTGAGGGTCTCATTGGGGAGGTTTTGGGTGCGGTTTTTCTGAAGAGTTTGGAATTCGTCGCCGGATTCGCCGGATTTCTCGGATCTCGCTGGAAACGGAAGAGGGGGGCCTCTGAGGGCCTCCTTGGGAGGCTCCGGGGGCTTTTTTTCTGAGGATGTCCCACGCGAAGGCGCCAGTTTTGACTTCGTCGCCGGATTCGCCGGATTTCCCGGATCTCGCCGGAGGCCCCGAGGGCGGTTTTTCTGAGGATCTCCCATCTGGGGGCGCCCGTTTGGAATTCGTCGCCGGATTTCCTGGATCACGCCGGAAACGGAACAAGGGGGGCCGTCGGCGGGGCCATTACCTCGCGCGCGGGGGGTCAGGATGACGTGAGTTCCACAGAAACTCATTCAAATAGCAGCGAGGTTGGAAAAAAACAACAAGAAGTTATCGCTAAAGGCAACGTTGTTTGCTTAACCTTCCTGCCTATCCGCCTGTTTGCCAAACTTCAAGGACCAAGGAAGGTGCATGGCGCGAAGCGCCATTGCAGTCTTCTGTTTGTGTATGTATATTCGTATGTGTGCAAATGTATGTAGGTATGTATGTCTGTGCATATATGCATACACGTATGTTTGTATCTATGAGCATGCATGTGTATGTACATATGTGTTTAAGTGTGTATACATGTATATGCACATGGACATGCAGATGTATATGTGTATGTATATGTGTATGTATGTGTATATGTGTACGTGTGTATGTGAATGTAAATGTACATGTATAGGTAATGTAGATGTAGATGGATGGGTAGATGTTCATGCAGATGTATAATTATGCAGATGTAGATGTAGGTGAATATGTTCTCGTACATGTATATGTGTACGCATATGAATATGTATATGCATATGTACATGTATATGTAAATGTAAATGTACATGTATAGGTACATGTATGTGCATGTATGTGTACACATGTGTATCTATATGCACGAATATTATATGTGTATGTGTACCTACGTGCATGCATGTATGTATGTGTGTAAGCATACGTATGTATGTATGCATGTGTATGTATGTATGTATGTATGTATGTGTGTATGCTTGTAGGGTGTGTGATTGTATATATTTGTATGTGTGTACATATGTATGTATGTATGTATGTATGTATGTATGTGTATTTGTTCATTTGTATGTGTGTATAGCTGCATGTTTGTATGGTTGCATGGTTGTACGTGTGTATGTATGTTTGTATGTATGTATGTATGTATGTATGTATGTATGCATACATGTATGTATGGATGTATGTATGCATGCGTGTGTGTATGTATGTATGTATGTATGCATGTATGCATGCATGTGTGTATATATGTGTGCATGTATGTATGTATGTATGTATGTATGTATGTGTATGTATGTATGTATGTATGTATGTATGAATGAATATATGTATGTATGTATGTATGTATGTGTGTATGTATGTATGTATGTATGTATGTATGTATGTATGTACGTACGTACGTACGTACGTACGTACGTATGTATGTATGTATGTATGTATGTGTATCTGTACACATTCGTATCCGCCACCGTGCCGCTGGGCACGCAGTGGGCCTCAACCCTCGCTCCTGAGGAGTCTTTCAGGGGCCTCGACCCCAAACTGACAGATCTCCCCGGGCTCGCCGCGTGCCCCCTGGGGCTTCCCGCGTGCCTCCTGGGCTCCCCCGCATCTTGTCGCGCGACTTTTCGGGACCAAGATGGCCCCAAGACGGGCCAACAGGGCCCCACGAGGCCCCCACGACGGTCCAAGAGGGCCCCGAGTCGCCGCACGATCGCTCCAAGACGCTCAATCAAGATGGCCCCCAGACGGCCCAAGAGGCCTCCAAGACGCCCAAAGAGGCCTCCAAGAGGCATTCCAAGAGGGCCCAAAGAGGCCAGATGAAACGATTTTGGCGTTCTCGCCTTTTCGATTGTCCGACGCTCCCAGACCGCCCAAGAGGCCCTCAAGACCACCCTAAACGGCCCAAGAGGCCCCCAAGAGGGCCCCAAGACGGCCTAAGAGCGCCCCAAGGCCCAAGAGGTGCCCAAGACGGCCCCAATAGGGGCCCAAGAGAGGGAACACGAAGCGAAAATCTCAGCCTTCCGCCCCAAGAGGCCCCCAGGAGGCCTCAAGAGGCCTCCACGAGGCCCCTAGAGGCCACCGAGAGGCCCCCAAGAAGCCCAAAAGAGGCCCCAAGAGCCCCCAAACGAGTCCTGAGAGGCCTCCAGACTGCCTCCAAGAGGTCACCGAGAGGCCTCCCACAAGATCCCAACGAACATCCAATAGGCTTCATATCCACTAAGGCACTGTGGCGGGATAGGCCGAAGGCCATTCGATACCAGGCCTGCGTAGTGCACGTGCCTACCAGTAGTAGGCATGTGCACCACCAATCTAGAGTGCCTAATATCTGAATCATAATCAACAAAATGTGGGACTTCCCCACTTTGACTGGCACTAACGATCGAAGATAGGAGGACCCAAGTGCCCCAGACTACATACAAAGGGTTAGGCCTACCCTTGAGGGTACCAGCGCAGCTCTACAATCCTCTTCATCGTGTCCCTCTTCCTCGTGCTCCTCGTGCTTTCCTTCTGTCCCTTCCCTCCTCCCTCTTCCTTGCTTCCTCCTTCATGCTCCCTCCTGCTTCCTCCCTCCTACCTCCCTCCTGCTCGCGTTTCTTCCTCCTTGTCCTCGTCATGATCCTCCCTCTCCTCCTCGGTATCCCACTCCCTGGAGATTCAGGGACAATGATGATCGATCGACTCAAAAAAAATTAGACCGTCCCGTGGACTATACCGGATCTCTTGCTCGAGCCATGCGGTCATGCGATTGACCTGCAGTCCAGCGTTTCAAGGACGCCTCCGGCAAAAGGCGCACGTGCAGCCGACTGCATGCCGGTAGTCCACGAGCGCCACCGGCAGTACCTGCGCCTCCGAAAATACCATAACTTCGATATGATCCACGCAGCCACCTTGTCTCGATGTATCAGCCCATATCGAATCAAAGACCACGCCTTCGTCGTCGTCTGGAGGTCTGTTGATCTGCGGCATGGGCTCTGACGCGCGAAAAGACTCCCCAAGGGCAACGCGGGCAACCATTAAGGTCCTCTTGGCATTCTTTTCCAACTGATTTACGCGATCTTCTGTGTAATCGTCGCTTTTTGAAGAATTCGCAGCGAAGTAAGAAGCGGTGCCGAAGAGCTTACCAGAAGTCTCGCCCCCCATCTGCGGATTGAACCCACCTCTGCATATCTCCGCTAGGGTCGATGGTACAGCCCCATGGAATAAGAAATGCTCGTTCAAGTCGAAGTCGTACCTGCTCGCCGGCACTTTCAGATGAGAGAGAGCCGAAATCGGAGAACACATGCCCTTTCGCTGCCTCTTGCCCTCGAGGTTCTAGAGCTTTGCCATGTAAGATGCTTGCACTCTTGGGTTTACTACCGATCACACCCCGATGATCTCGAGCTGCGGCGGCTCATGATACACGGCAGACCGGTACGACTCCCTGTCGGAGAGACCCAAAGAGATACCGAAACCGCTGCTCTCCCGGGGCCTCTCCCGAGGTGCGTTCTGGCCAAGATTTCGCGGCGAATCCAGCTGCGGCAGCGAAGGCCTCCCGGGAGGCCCACAGAGAATTAGAGAACAAGAAGAAGGGCAACGGTATCGGTACCTCTTTCCTGCTCTGACCTGTGGCTTGCAACCGTGCTGACGACAATGTGCGACATGAACTGGCCAAACGGGTCCTCTTCTGGCACTGCGCCAATGCGGTACTCAGAATAATGGGAAGGCCGAGGCATCTGGGCAGCGTGCGCGAGTCGATCCGCCGCCCCGCCCTCGCACGCTGGGGCGTCTTCGACTATCAACTGCATGGGAGAGGTTCCTCTGTAATGTTTCAAGAGCCTCTGCCCCCGACTTCAGGAGACAACTCGAGGGAGGTCTTCGTAAGGTCGATTCAGGGCCATTGCGCCCTATTAGAAGGCCACTACACCAAGTTAGCCCAAACTAGGCCCCAAATTGAGCCAGATTAAACCGGATTAGGCGGGGTTGGACCGGATGATGAGCGGGAGTCTGCCGCTGTCCGACCACAGATGTAACAGCGCCGATGCTGAGATGAACCTCGCAGGAGCTGCAGCCTAACATACTCGCGCATTCGCCAAAAAGTGCCCACGCTTTGCTCTCCAGCGAGCTTCGTAGCCCCAAGATGGCCCTGAACACCAACCAGTCCCGAGATGGCTACAAGATGCCCCAAGACCGGCCCAAGGCAATCTATAGACAACCCACAAGGCCCAAGATGCCCCGAAAAAACTCCACAACAGGGCCCCTGGGACGCCAAGCCCATCGAATAACTCGTGCTGCAGGATGTTAGGTGAAAGGCGGCTTCAGGAATACCGCAGAGGCTCCCGAGGAAGCCTCAAAGGCACCCGAAAGCCTCCAAGATCGCGCTAAGAGGCGACCAAGACAGCCCGAGCACGCTCCAAGAAACCCTCAGACCACTGCGCTACAATACTGCCCCAGAACCATGGCACCGAAGTCGATCTAAGACCGTCTAACAAGGGGGCTTGTAGAGCCTTGACTCTAGTGAAACTCCTCAAGAGAACTCGGTAAACGGTAGAACGATCCTGCTCGGACTTCAATGCTGCACTAGCACAGTGACGGAAATTGCCGCAGACAGCGTGATATTTGTCCATAAGCTCTTTGAACATGAGCATGTCGTCATCATGGCGCCCATCCGTTCTCTGTCCAGATCCACTCGAACCGTCAGACGCCAGCCATATCTTCAATGTCCAGTCGTGTGAAGCAGAGAGAACCTTCTTACCGTCTGGAGAGAAACAACAACTATAAACATCAGCGTCGTGCCCGCTCAGGGTATGCAGCAGCGCACCGTCAGACGCCAGCCATATCTTCAATGTCCAGTCGACTGAAGCAGAGAGAACCTTCTTCCCGTCTGGAGAGAAACAACAACTATAAACATCACCGTCGTGCCCGCTCAGGGTATGCAGCAGCGCACCGTCAGACGCCAGCCATATCTTCAATGTCCAGTCAACTGAAGCAGAGAGAACCTTCTTCCCGTCTGGAGAGAAACAACAACTATAACAACAGCGTCGTGCCCGCTCAGGGTATGCAGCAACGCACCGTCAGACGCCAGCCATATCTTCAATGTCCAGTCCTCTGAAGCAGAGAGAACCTTCTTCCCGTCTGGAGAGAAACAACAACTATAAATATCAAAGTGGTGCCCGCTCAAGGTATGCAGCAACGCACCGTCAGACGCCAGCCATATCTTCAATGTCCAGTCAACTGAAGCAGAGAGAACCTTCTTCCCGTCTGGAGAGAAACAACAACTATGAACAACAGCGACGTGCCCGCTCAGGGTATGCAGCAGCGCACCGTCAGACGCCAGCCATATCTTCAATGTCCAGTCAACTGAAGAACCTTCTTCCCGTCTGGAGAGAAACAACAACTATAAACATCACCGTCGTGCCCACTCAGGGTATGCAGCAACGCGCCGTCAGACACCAGCCAGATCTTCAATGTCCAGTCAACTGAAACAGAGAGAACCTCCTTACCGTCTGGAGAGAAACAACAACTATTAACAACAGCGTCGTGCCCGCTCAGGGTATGCAGCAACGCACCGTCAGACGCCAGCCATATCTTCAATGTCGAGTCATGTGAAGCAGAGAGAACCTTCTTCCCGTCTGGAGAGAAACAACAACTCACAACAATATTGCGGTGCCCGCTCAAAGTTCGTTCGGCACGGAATACCATTGGCCGCGAATTGTGCTTTCAAGGCGGGCGAATGCACCTTGAGTCCCGCAAGGGCCACAGCTTGTCCGCCACTTTGCCTGCATCGAATCGCGCGAATCAGCAAAATGCGGTACGGTGGGGGTGGTCATCAATGCGTTCGAAGGCAAGTTCGTTTCCCTGTCACATCAGCCCCCATGAACACCCCCCAGGAAACGAAACCCCGTGGGAGACCTAATGCATTTTCTCGTGCCTGTCGTGGTGCGTTTGAGGAGCAACCCGGGCCATTGTCTGACCACTTTGGGCTGTCATGGGGCCATCCTGGACCGTTTGGGGGCAAGCTTGGGCCGTCTCTTGGTCCTTGGGGCCATCCTAGGCCACCTTCGTGGCCATCCTGAGCAATTTTGCCCGTCTGGCGGTGGCAAATTCGTGCGGCAACGCCACCACATTTTTGATCGACTCGCGCGCGGCCGCCGTCTGCGACCTTGGGCGGGCTTGTCCACTGGCGAAACCAATGTTTGCATGCACAGACTTGCTTGCCGCGACAAGCGAAACAGCAGGCCCACACGGCGATGCAAGCACCACTGGTGGGCAGACGACGCAGCGGACACGGCAGAGCAACGCGACAGCGAGCGAGGCACGACGGTAAAACAAGAAAAAGGCGAGGGCCAAAACGGGAAGCGAGCTGGGCAGCGGCGCGGCCGACGCCCGCGGAATGCTTGGGCCTGGTGAGCGAGCTTGCCTTTGACTACCGACCAGACCACCCCAACCGAACCCGAAAACCCGAATTTCGGGTTGGGGGGGGTACGGGTTCCGCATATGGAATGGATGCCCCCCCCGCTGGGAATGGAGGGCAAATTGAAATTTTCGGGGCGGGTTGGGGTGGTTTGGTGGGCGGCGAAACTTGGCACGAACGCAGGGTTCGCCCTGGGTGTACGCGTGTTGGAAGCAGCACTCGCTGCGTTTGGGAGGCGCCCCCCCCCCGCCCCCCGTCACACACGCTTCAGCTCCGCCAGCGACGCGGCAACGCAGTTGCAATCAATGCTAAAACGAGCTGCGTCGAAACGACGCGACAACCTGCGATGGAGCCCCCCGTCCTTTTTAACCCGGTGGCGCAGAGGATCCTCAAGCAGCAGATGCAACTGCCACTTGCGATCGGATATTGTCGAAGGCATAGTGTACTAAACGTGCACACCGTCAATGCAGCGTGAATGGTGTGAAGGAGGAGCTGTAAATCCAAACGAAACGTCCAGCGGCCACGGGGTTCCCCGACCACGCATACACTTGTTCGGCGTCGTGACCTCGCGCGCGGCGACGGGGCGTAGAAAATCGGGCGCAGGCAGTGAAGCGCGCGCGTTTACGCCTGGCCTAGCACCCAGAAGCCGCTTAGAGTCTCGCAGCCGGCAGCAGCCATGCCCATCCAGGCTTGGATTGCGGGGAAGGGCGATGAGTAGACGAAACTACGGTGAGGGTGGAAGATGACAGAAGCCAACTGGCGCACACACACACACACACACACTCACTCATTCACTCACAAACTCACGCTCCTTGGGCGGTAGCGATCTCGCGCGCAGTGACGAGGCGGACAAAGTGAACAGACAGCGCGCGCGGCGGCAAGGCCCTCAGCATCGCTTAGGATGCGGTCCTACCGATACCAGCCATGCAGAAAGCACACACACACACATCCGACCGACATCAGCACACAAACACACACGCAGGCACGCACGCAGACAGACAGACAGACAGACAGACAGACAGACAGACAGACAGACAGACACACACACACACACACACACACACACGCACGCACACACACACACACACACGCACACGCACACGCACACGCACACGCACACGCACACGCACACAGACACACACACACACACACACACACACACACACACACACACACACACACACGCACACCCTCGTGATGGAGGGGGGGCGGCGCTTGGGTGGGTGAGGGGAGGACGGGTTGGGCCAAGTGAAACTGCCATCGCTCGAACAGTGGCCGCACGTGAAACCAGAATGGTAAACCTCAACCGCGCGAAATGCGGGGAACGACTCTGCCACAGTCCCTTCCTCCTCGCCTTAACCATCTCCTTCCCCCCCCGTTTCCCCCTCCCGCCCCCTCCTCCTCATTTCTCCTCCTCCTCCTCCTCTTCCTCCGCCTCCTCCTCCTCTTCCTCCTATCTCGTCCTCCGCGGGGGGGGGCTGACTACCGTCTCCTGGTTTCCAGTCCTACCCCTAGGGCACACTGTCAGTGGAACCTGCATCCACGGTCTGGGTGAGTGGCAACCGGCCTTCTGTTCGGTATGGCAGGCAGCGGGCACTTGGACTGGGGGTGGGCGTTGTGAAACCTGCTCGGCTGGGGGATGCCCCCGCCGCTGGGTGTAGCACGGCCCTCGGTCTCAGCCTTGCCCAGCTGATGGCGGCGTTAGTCAGACACCTGTGGTGGCATGTAAGGCTCCCAAGGACTCGCGTTTCCGTGAAAGGTGGTGGCGAGTGCCACAACGGCTGGGGCAGGAGTTCCCAATGCGCAATGCCCACTGTTTCGGCGGGGTCGAGCCTGGGGGGCCGCCCACGAACCAACATGCCGTCACGGTGGGGCCGCGAGTCGCCAAGCGACGAGGTCCGCTGAACCTACCCAGCACCATGTTTGTCTGTGGTGCAGAGGCATGGGGCGCCCATTAATGCTTCCTCATGTATTCTCCTCCTATCCCCTCCTCCTCCTATCTCCTCCTCCTCCTCCTCCTCCTTCTCCCCCTCCTCCTCCTCCTCCGCCTCCTCCTCCTCCCCCTCCTCCTCCTCCCCCTCCTCCTCCTCCTCCTCCTCATCTTCCTCCTCCTCCTCATCATCATCATCCTCCTCATCCTCCTCATCCTCCTCATCCTCCCTCCCTCGTCGTCAATCCCAGCCATCCCCCCTCCCCTGCGAGTCCACCTCGCGTGCTCCCCCTCTTCGGAGAGGGAAGGAGAGCGGGCGGGCAAGCGGGAGAGGAGAGGCAGCCAATCGGCCGCGCGGCCGCGCGGAAATGGTGTCGGGCGGGTACGGGGTCACGCGCCGACCACGAGCTGCAAGGCGCCCGCCCCCCCACCCCCCCCCCAAACCCCCAGAAGGTGCAGCCGACGACGCTGGCCGGCCAGGAGCCGTGGCCATCCCGGCTGCAACGGAGCATGTAAGCACGCCACCTCTTCCCTCCTGCTCCCACCTCTTCCCTCCTGCTCCTCCTGCTCCTCCTACTCCTCCTGCTCCTGCTCCTGCTCCTGCGCCTGCTGCTGCTGCTGCTGCTGCTGCTCCTCCTCCTCCTCCTCCTCCTCCTGCTCCTGTTCCTGCTCCTCCTCCTCCTCCTCCTCCTCCCCCTCCACTCCCGTTAGCTCCAGCTAGCTCCGCAGCCGACGCCACCTCGATGAAGTGAAACCGAAAAAAGGAGAGGAGAGAGAGAGAGAGAGTGAGCAAGCGAGAGAGAGAGAGCGATTCATGAATATGTGTATATATACATATGTAGATGTGCACATTTATTTATATATATATATATATATATATATTACACCGTGCCTTATGGGAGAAGAAAGGGGAAAGCTGAGGAGACGAATCGGGCAGCAAAGCCTCCCGCTCACAATGCCAACAATATTGGACAAACGCATAGTGTGCGCACCCCTGACGGCCCCCGATCGTTTATATACACCTGCACGACCACCCCTCGGGTGATAAGGTTGGTGGGGGGAAAAGAACCAACTGACGACAACTGCGACGGCGGTGATGATGACGATGCTGGTGATGCGCCCTCGAGTTGGCGACGACGCGTGGTGACGACGCTGCGTCGCGATATGGTCCCACTATCTATCCCACTCGATCGACCTCACCATCAAGACACCACCAGGGCACCATGAGGCCAAATAAATGCCACCACTACTGTGCTGTGATGGTGTGTGCTAAGTGTAATGGCTGGCTGCTGATGGCAAGGTGATGGCCACAGTGGTGATGAGCGTGGCGGCGACAGCAACGACAGTAGTGCTGAGTACGATCGGAACACCATCGGAACACTATCGGGCCAAACAGAAGCCACCACCACTGCGCTGCGATTGCAATGTGACGATGTGGCGTCTCGATGTGATCTCACCATCGATCCCACACGATCGACCTCACCATCGAGACACCACCAGGCCACCATGAGGCCTAAGAAATGCCATCATTACTGTGCTGTGATGGTTGGTGCTGAGCGTGATCCCCGCCCAGATGTTCTGGCCCCCGGTCCCGCGGCCTCCGAGGGATAGGAAACAAAGAAAGGACGGAAGAGGGTGTGAGGGACGGAAAGAATTGAGAAAGGCGAGGAAAGAGGTGGAGGGAGAACAAACAGAGTGGAAGCGGACATAAGCAAGAGAACGTGTGGAGACCGACGGAACACCGACGGGACAATTGGCGTATCTCACTATCGATCACACAGTCGATCACACTTCGAACTGGGTTCCACATCATTTTTTCGAGGACGTCCCGCACAAACGTTCATGTTCCTGTTGTTTCGATTATGATTTCGAACTTGGTTCGGATCTGTTTCGCGAGGAAGGTCCTCGAGGCTTGTCGTCTTCGAACCGCCACCCCGTTTTGCCT